TACATACATACATACATACATACATACATACATACATACATACATACATACATACATACATACATACAATTATATAAATATATAAATAAATATTGGATAGAATTAGGAAGGGGGACCAGAACGAGATGCCAATTGACTTACAAACTTTGCATACATACAATTAGCATGCAACAGCACAAAAGGATCAAACTGTTTCTTATCCGTGACCATTCGGGACAGACGTCAGTCTTCTTTGTGATTGCTCTGAGCTACAGCTTTTACTGTGTACTCCTTCTTGCATGTGTACACATACTGACACACACACACATACCCTCGATTACAAGTACCCTATGACTATGTACACAATCTATTTTCTAGTTGTGAGTGTGTAAAACAAGTGCGACAGTGCCGGATAGTCTTGTTGACTTGGCGTTGACGTGAATCTTTTGCAGAGACCAGTTCCAGCTCTGAGGACGTCTGTCAACCCGAAGGTCGTATCGAGACTAGACGACGGCATTAGGACGCGAATCAGCTGTCCTTCTGCGGTCACATGCACCCACGAATCTCTTCATCACACACAAACACACACACACACACACACTTTCCTACAACATCAACCGGTTGCTCGAAATCCGGCGAGGATTTCCTGTGGACCCTGTCAACCTGTTCAAACCTGTAGCCAAGCGGCTACGGAGCAACCGGAATTCGCGGTCGTCTTCGCCCGAGACCGACCTCTCGAATCTTTTTCACACGAAACGAACATTATCACAACGATGCCTTCTGCGAGTACAGGCAGTCGGAAACCCACGGGCTCGACGACCGCTGTCTCGTTGCTACGCCAGCACGTCTGTTGGTAGGGCCAAGTAGGTCTTCCGACGCCAGTCGCGTCAATTCGGCCGACGAGCAAACAACTCGTTCGAGTCCCCTCGTATACATTCCACAATCCGTCACCGTTTGCTTTCACCAGACTCTTTGTAATTAGTCTCAGAATCGGCAGTCTATCTATCTATCTATCTATTTGTATGTGAATTTGTATGTCTTTACATTTCGCCCGTATCCTCGACACGTCCGACCCGCTTTTCCTCCGCCTCCGGTGCTACCGCAGCTCAACGTCCGAGCCCGGACGGCTCGTCAAGTCCTCGTCTCATTCATCGCCTTCTCCGTTGCCCGAGTGACGGCAACCCCTACCCCCATGGCCCACACTCTGCCTCACACTCTGCCCCATGCACCCACACTTTGTCACCTACGCTTCACTCTCTTTTCGCAAGAGCCACCCGGACTTGATGGCGTAATGTATGCGAAAGCAGAACTTGCAGGTCAGCCAAAACCGAGCCGACCAATGGCCATGCCTTCGGTAGCACACATACACACACAAATATACACTTTTTTTCTAATATTTATAACCATACAGACACATACAGGCATGCACATTGGCACACATAAATACAAACACATACAATCATGCACACACACACACACACACAGACAGACGCACACAAGCATACACATTGGGGCAAAAATGGAAGTCCGAGTGTCAGGCTGTCTGGCTGGCTGGCCGGTTGACGTGGCGACAATGTGGTGAGAGTGGGGTTTCGTCACCTTCGCCCGGCAGCAAACACTTCTCCGGGCTGCTCGCCCTCACTTCTCCGCAGAGCCGATGAGTTGTGCTGACCTGGCGACGGCGACTGTGACTGTGACTGTGACTGTGGCCGAATTACGTAATCCCATCTGCCCGCCAGTCGGCCGGACTGGCACTGGCCGACGCCAAATGCGGCCCACTTGCTCCATTTGTTGTCGACACGAGGCAGCACATCGTCCGGTACACAAAGACACACGACAGTCGAGTTGACAAAACACACTCACACACACACACACACACACAGTGACGGATGGTTTGCCCACCAACT